CTTGCTTCCTCACTTGTTCTCTCTTTCTGTCTCTGGTGAACATACATGACTGATAGCAAATTAAAAGATAATGATAATAAATAAAATGAAATAATTCTTTAAAAATTTAAAAATAAAATAGAAATCTGGGGTCCAACAGGTAGCATGATGGTTAAGGCATTGGACTCCCATCTGTGTGGCCACGGTTTGAATCTCGGAGATGGTGGCTTGAAAAATCACACTGAGTGCATATATATACATGTGCCCAAATCCCAGGAGGACAGTTGAGGAGAAGGGATTGCCATGTGGCCATCCACCTGGGCGGGGGTGGGGGGGATGTCTCGCTTTCCCTTTCTTTGTCTCTGTCTCTCTGTCTCTCCTATGAGTGCACGTGCCCTGTGGCAAAAACCTTAAAAATATAAAAAGTGAAAATAGGAATCTGTAAATAAGAGAGGTATGAAGTGCTGCTCTACCTATGGGTCCTGCTAGTGGCATGAAGCCACCCAGCTAAACTGGCCCTGCTGCTGGGTAGCCCGATGGCCCTCTGCCCCGTCTTGGGGTAGGGGAGGTTCTGTCTGGTCTCAGCACGTGGGGGTTGCACTGGCAGCGCTGCGTTCCTAGCCAACGCCGCAGGTGCACGCAGGGCCCGGCATTGTGCGTGCACCAGAGACTGCCCCACCTCTCCGGCTGTCCTGGCCCTGCAGCTCGCCAGCGCAGAAGCAGGCCGTGTCGGAGGGGCTGGGGCCGGTGGCCCTGGGCTCCAGGCTCCGTTTCCCGTTGTAACGAGGAGCTGGGAATAATACCTACCCGGGAGCGTTTTGCTTCTTGGATGAAATAAAGCCGGTGAGGTGCTTAGCTCAGGGCTCCTGATGTACGAGGTCACCTGTCAGTGTGCTCGTGGGTTCGCGTCCCCATCTGCTGTGACCGTGCAGCCCTCAGAGCGGCGGCCCGTCTCCCCCTTGGAGAACGGAGCCGGGAGTTTCATTAAGTCTTGGCGGGGGCTGGGGCTGGTCGTGGTGGAGCGGAGTGTGGGCAGTTCCTTGCCATGGCGGCATCTGCGTGTCTTCCCTGTGACTTTGGAGAGAGCAGCAGGATTCGTCCTTCCTGGGTTTGGGTCAGGCTGAGTGTCTTTGCTGTCACTCTCCTACTCCAGTGCCCTGGCATTGTCCAGTGACTTCAAGGGCAGCTTCAAGAGAAAGAGAAATGACTGAGGTGCATTTCCACACTGTAACAGAGACTCCCAGAATCCCCTTTTCCGGGAAGCCCACCCCGACGCCCACCAATAATCCCTGCCCCAACCACACTCGCTGTTGGTGCTTGCCCATGAAAGCGACTCCATTACGACAGAGCGTCTGTGCACGCGTGCAGTGCTGGCCGTGAGCTCCAGGAGGGCTGGGGCGTCGTGCCCTGCACCCCCTCGTCTATGAGGGCAGCAGCGCCAGAGACGCAGCTGAGGTGAGAGGCTGTGGCTGGCAGCCGCCTCACTCCTAGGGCCACGTGCATCCTGGTCTTGTCCATCTTGTGACATTGAACCACGCAACATGTCACGACTGTCTGCTTGTGCGGGCATGTTGCGGGGCCTGGGGGACTAAACACACTGCCGCTGCCCATCGAAGGTTCCCCCTGAGACCAGAAAGCCCCAGGTGTCTTCAGAGAGGTCACAGGAATTGTGTGTGATAAAAAACTATGCATGGGTTTCGAGATGGTTTTGCACTAAAATAAATGTGTACTTTAATTCCATCTTCCGTGAACGTCTTGGAACCCCTGTAGGGATAAACCACAGTTTAGTTGGGGCGGCCTTGGTCTGAGTGGCCGCTCTCACGGTCCTGGTTGGGAAACCACTTACCCATCTCCCTGCTCTTCTCATGTAACCCCTACGGGGCGCGGGGGGGATGAATTACCGGAGGTGAGGCAGGCCAGACACTTGCGAAGCACCGCTGACCTGCGTGGGTTTTGTCTTCCTCCTTCTCTCCTCCTTCAGTTTCTCCCCCTTTATATATTTAGGTAATTTACTATAGGGTGCATGGGCTTGCCACAGAGAGAGTGAGAAATCACCTCCCAGGGAGGATGGCCACACTGCAGTCCCTTCTCCAATCTCCAGTTGAGATTTTGGGCATGCACAACATGCCTGGCATGATTTTCAAGCTGTGTCTGAGACGCGAACCATGCAGTCAGCCATATGTGATCCAGTGTCTTAACCAGCTTCCCAAAGGCTGGCCCTCTCCCCTTGTATTTAAATGCCCCTCCCGTCCCCTTACGTCCCCTGGGCCACCATCCTGAGCTGGCCATCATGAGCTGGTGTAAGAGCCCCCAGGTTCTCTCTCCCGCATTGGAGTAGTATTCCCGAAGCTTTGCTCCAACCCATTCCTGCCTAATAGGGCTCGGGCCAGCAGCTGTCCTCCGCCCGCAGGAATCAAGGGGTGTGTCCCTGCCCTGCCCCGCCCCACGCCCTGTCCTTCCTCTCTGTACAGAGAGCCCCGTCCTGCTCTCTGCTTTGTCCAGATGGAACTCCGTCGGCAGGGCCTGTGTCCATCCCTATCCTCAGAGACCGAGTCTCCTTCCAGACCTGTGTCCCGGCACACCCTGTCGGATGTCCTTCCTCAGGCCTCACGTCCCCAGGCTGTGGCTGTTGGCATTTGCTACTGTGTCCTGCGGTTCCTGTGGTCCCGTTTATTTTTGTTGATACTTGTTTGCTCGTTTGTTTTGCCATAGGGTGCATGTGCTTACCAGAAAGAGACAGAGAGAGGGAAAGTGAGAAATCGCCCCTGGGCGGGTGGCCACACTCAATCCTTTCTCCTCCTGGGGATACACACGTGCCTGGAGTGATTTTTAAGCTGCCAGGTCTGGGACTCAGACTGGTCAGCCATGTGGGAGTCCAGCGCCTTAACTGCTATGCCACCTGCAGCCCCTCCCCATGTCTCTGGTGAGCAGCACAGGGACAGGGACTCTCTCAGCTCCTGCCCACGCCGTGCCTTTCACACGACCTGTCATAACTCCTCGCTGACCGAACAAAATTGGATTTCATGGTTTCCTTTAGAGTCGGGGAAACTACATGTTCTTCCCTTCCTTCGTAAAATGCAAGGATACCGCATTTTGGGGAAAATCACATTACTGTTGTGTGCGAGGCTTCGTGCAAAAAAGATTTCTCGTGAAGAGTGGGGCTGACGGCCCGGCCTTCCTCTTCTCAGGCTGCCCCCCCAGCTTTATTCTCTGCTTCCCAAACACTCGGAAACGTCTGGGAGGTTTCCCGAGGGCCTCATGCTATTTCGTGAGGATTCTCTTCCTGGCCTGCGTAGGCATTGCTGGGGCCGCTTCTCCACTGGCTGGACAGTCCCTTCGAAGACACCGTGAGGCTGGCGTGTGCTCAGGCAGCTTCCGGTTCCCGAGCCACACTGCCTTGTCCCCAGGGCAGGGTTCTTTATGCATTCTAGAAGACTCTTGCTTGTAAATAATCATACAAATTGTGCTGCTTCGGCCTTGTAGAAATTGTGAAATGCCACATGGAACACTAAGTGCCACGCCGCCCCGTGACGGGCATGCCGGTGTGTTGGCAGCAGCTCTTGTCTCCAACCAAGCCTGACAGTCTTTACTTAGTGGTTTTTCTAAACTGTAAGACATCTTTTTTCTTTGACAGCTCTTCTTATATTTTTTAAAGCCATCTTTTGAATGTCTTTTTTTATCCATTTGAACAGTAAATTGGTTCATATCATCTGAACTCGCTCATAAAATGCCCTTCGACTCTGTGGCCTTTTCAAGCCTCCTGTCTCAGAATCATCATAATGCAGCGATTTGTGGAGCAAAATATGAATAATGTCATTTTAGATGGAACAGTTCTTTTTAAAATTCAAGGAAACTTTTTTTTTAAGCTTTTTTTTTCTTTGGCCATAGAGCATATGTGTTTGGCCAAAGAGAGACAGGAAGTGAGAAAGCACCCCCCGGGGATGGCCACACTGCAATCCCTTCTCCATTCTCCTCCTGGGATTTTGGACACACACGCACACATGCCCAGTATGATTTTTAAGCCGCCAGGTCTGGGACCTGAACTGTGGTCGTCCATGTGGGAGTCCAGCACCCCAACCACCACACTACCTGCTGGCTCCCCCAGTGGACTTTTAAGGTTTAACCTGCAAAAAAAACCAAAAAGTGACCCCCCACTGCTTCTGGATATGAGTTTTCTTTGTTCTGTCCTAAAATGTGGCAGAAGAAGAGTGGCTTCTATTTGAGAATCCTGGGAGCGGGAGGCCCGAGCCAGTGTCCAGGGTTACAGTAAACGGTCCTGGGGCCGGGGCTCCCGTGAACGGCAGCCTTTGCAAGGGGAGCAGTGTGCTCTCATGGTCTCTCAGGACAGCAGACGTGTATTGAGAACTCACTGGGAATTTGCTGTTGTTCAAAATGACAAAAAAATAGATCTGATGGTTAGCCAGTTTCTCCCCTGACCAGTTTTTCTCCTGCCATGTTTGGAGAGTATTACCTCTTCGAAGGGCAACATTTTCCGCCCTACTTCTCCTCCACCAAGCTGGGAAACAGGAAGCAGCGGCTCTGTGTGTCTGGGGTGAGGAGTTCTCAAAGCTCCTTTGGCTGACTGACAGCATGGACGCCACTTTCAGCTCGGGACCCCATATAGGACCTGGCCCGTAGGCAGTGATTGCCAAATCTCATTGAATGGATAAACCTTTTACAAAAGTTTATTTATTGATTTTAATTGAATTTATTGTTATTATTATTTATTTTTAATTTGACCAGAGAGAGAGACAGAAAGGGAAAGTGAGAAAGCAAGTTGCTAGGGCTTGGCCTCAAATCACAGTCGGCCATGTGGGAGTCCAGTGCCTTCACCACCATACCACCTGCTGGCCCCGCATCCCGTGAATGTCTGCGTGTGCAGTGCTCCCTCTCGGTGGTTCTAGAGCACCTCCAATGGATCTTGGGCTCTTCCACAGCTTTTATAAAAATGAAATTCTGGTGGCGGGGCTTCGTGCATGGATCAGTTCTCAGGTTTTAATTCTGACTTGTGTAGTATTTGCAGTCTTTCCTATATGATGACCTTCTGCCCGCCTTCCCCCGCACAGGTCTTCTTTGATGTGAAGATCGGAGACAAAGATGTTGGCAGAATTGTGGTCGGCCTCTTTGGGAAAGTCGTGCCCAAGACGGTGGCAAACTTTGTTGCTTTGGCAACAGGAGAGGTGTGTCTCAGTTTTGTTACTTTTAACTGTGTACTATATTGCATTTCATTCTATTTTTAGAATGATTTAATTTTACTTATTATTATTTTTAAATTTGCCATAGGGCATGTGTGCTGATCACAGAAAGATGGAGGAAGAGAGAGAGGAGACGTGAGAAAACAAGCTGCCGGGTCCAGGTCTTGAACCATAGTCAGCCATGTGGGAGTCCAGTGCCTTAACCACCGTGTCACCTGCTGGCCCTGAACCTTTCTTTTAAGCCAAATATGAAGATGTCATCTGAGAAACTGAGTATTAAATTCGTATGCTAGATGAACCTGGGACATCTTATTACATTTTACTTTATTTTCCTTTAAAATCTTATTGAGGGGACCAGTTGTTAGTGTAATGACTATGTGGCTGGACTCCCACGTAATCGACAGCAGTTCGAGTCCCAGACCCGGCAGCTTAAACTCACGCCGGGTGCATGTGCGTGCGTGCCCAAGATCCCGAGAGGAGAATGGAGGAGAAGGGATTGCGGTGTGGCCATCCCCCCTGGGGGTGATTTCTCGCTTTCTGTCTCTCTGTCTCTCTCCGGCTTTCTGGCGAGCACACGTGCCCTATAGCAAAAACCTCTCCAAGAAAAGAAGAAAAGAAAAAGATCTTATTGAGGCCTTCAGTGCCCTTAGGCTTCTGGAGAAGACGATGAGCAAAGAAAATGCAGATTCCTCTTTTTCTAATTATGCACATTAATACTTTCCTTTCATAACTTCTTGACTTGTTTATTCATTTGGTGGTTTGCTAAAGATGAGTATCGTTGTTGGGACCTAATCGAGTTCCATAGATACTTTGTTTAGTTTTCTCATTTCCGACAGCCCCTGGGTGTCTCTCAGTGCAGGCTGTGTCTCCTGTACCCGGTACTCACCTGAAATGCTCTCTTTAGAAAGGCTATGGCTACAAAGGAAGCTCCTTCCATCGCGTCATCAAGGACTTCATGATCCAAGGAGGAGACTTCACCGCGGGCGACGGCACTGGCGGTAACTCGCATCTTTCCATCCCCTGACCAGACTGCGGCCCACAGCAGGGCCAACAGCTTACCACAGTATTTTTAAACCCCATATTTAAGGAACACAGACAGACAGTTCTAATTCTTTAAGAAGGGTAGGGTTTGGGGACCTCAGCCACCAGTCTTGGTAGGAATGAATGGGCGAAGCTTCCTCATGGTGAGCAGCCTTGTTCTGGACCTCAGTGCCTTCCCGTAGTGCAGACTCACGCAGTTAATACTAGTGACTAGGGCTGGCTCCGCAGTGCAGTGGTCGAGTCCCAGTCCTGGGGACTGGAGAAACATGGCAGGCCCACGTGCACGAATGCCCAAACTCCTGACAGGATGGGGCAGTGGAGGAAACGATGGTGTGTGATTGTGGCCCATTGAGAAGTGCTTTCTTTCTCCTGCGTTGCCTAGTGCACGTGCCCTCCGACAGTTAAAAAGAAATACATACTAGTACGTAGCAATTCAGAAACATGTCTGCCAGAGGAAGGATAGGGAAGACCACAGAGTTGCATGTCCACTGGGATGGCTGCCAGCTACAGATGTGGATACTGGTGGAGACGGGAGGGCCTCAATTCCAGAAGGACAAGACTGGCATGTAGGTGGCAGGGTCACAGAGAACTTTCCTCCATCTTTCCAAAGGGTTTCATTTTATTGTCAGTTTTTAAAGTAATTATAAACAAACTTAACCTTATAGCTGGGTTGCCAAAATTATGAACTGTTGAGTTGCTGGAAAAGTCATGATGCAGTTTTGCACAGGAAAACATCGAAAAATATGTCATGGCTTTTCTGAGGACCCAATGATTCTTTTTTTATTTCTTTCTGTTTTTTTTTTTAAGAGGTTTTTGCCTTAGGGAGCATGCATGTGCAGGAGAGAGAGAGAGAGGCAGAGACAGTGAGAGGGCAAATGAGAAATCACCCCCAGGGGGCTGGTCACACTGCAACCCCTTCTCCTCTGTTCTCCCGGGATTTTGGCCATGTGCCTACACACGCCTGGCTTGATTTTCAAGTCACTGGGTCTGGGACTCAAATCAAAGTTGGCCATGTGGGAACCAATGTCTTAACTGTCCCACCACCTACTGGCCCCCCTAGTAATTCTAATAAACAAAGTTTTAGTTCAGTAAAGTGTGTTTTATATGATAATTAGACTCCCCACCCTCCCTCGGCTTGTCCTTCCCGAGGATTTCAGCTGTCCCCTTGCTGTTCTCCCTTCCCCCACAGACTCACTGGCTGAGTTCTTTCCTGGAACACAGACACAGAGTATGTAACTACGCACAATTTAAATTCACTTTGGATTTAAGATTTTTAATTCAGCAAATCCTATTTTGGGTATCTATTAAGTTCTTTTTTTTTTTTTTTTTTTTTAGGTTTTTCCCATAGGGCTCATGTGCTCACCAGAGAGACAGACAGAGGGAAAAAGTGAGAAATCACCCCTGGGGAGTGGCTGTAATCTTTTCCCTTCCATTCTCCTCTCAGGATTTTGAGCACACACCCAACTAATCCACCAGGTCCAGGACTCAAACTGTGGTCGGCCATGTGGGAATCCAGCACCCTAACCACCATGCCACCTGCTGGCCCCAAGTTGCTACCTTTTATCCCCCCTTTTAAGGTTTACGCTATAGGGTGCATGTGCTTGTCAGAGACAGAGACAGTGAGAGGGAAAGTGAGAAATCACCCCCCGGGGGGATGGCCATGCCAGTTCCTTCTCTATTTTCCCAGGATTTTGGACACACAGGCACACATGCCCAGTGGGGGTTTTTTTTTTTTTTTTTCATAGAGGTTTTTGCTATAGGGCGCGTGCGCTCGCCAGACAGACAGAGAGACAGAGAGACAGAAAGCGAGAAATCACCCCCCAGGGGGGATGGCCACACCGCAATCCCTTCTCCTCCATTCTCCTCTCGGGATCTTGGGCACGCACGCACATGCGCCCGGCGTGAGTTTTAAGCCCCCAGGTCCAGGATGCGAACCGCGGTCGACTACGTGGGAGTCCAGCGACATAGCCATTATGCCAACTGCTGGTCCCCCCAGTGTGATTTTCAAGTCACTAGGTATGGGACTTGAACCACGGCCAACTCTCTGGGAGTCCAGTGCCTTAACCACTATGCCACCTGCTGGCCTGCCAAGTTGCTAACTTTGTAAAGAAATGCAGGCCATTTTTAGGTACTAGTTCTAACTTGACGTTTGTCGTTAGGGTTTGTTCATTTACAACAAAATGGCTACCACTGAGCGCTCTGGCTTGCTGGGTCTCTGTGAGCATTCCTTTGTGTTCCGGCAAGAACGCCGTAGAGATGAGGATGAGGGGATGCGGAGAAATGAGTGCAGGTCACTTCCGGGAGTGCGGTTTGCTGAGAATGCTCAGGGAGGCCCCTGCGTGTGCAGAGCGATCCTGTCGGCCACCTCACATGTCACTGACAAGCAGCTCTGCAGCTCGCCTTCTCCTGAGCCGGGATTTTGAGGTTGACGCCGGTGGACAGGGAGCCCACAGGGGCAGGAGGGCACACCGGCCTCTGGGTGCTGGAGCTAGGGCAGGCTTGCTCGAGGTCTGCACTGCGGTTATGGGAGGTCTGCGCTCCGCTTGCCGCCTTGCTGAGCTGCAGAGCACTCACCTCCCTCTAGTTGTATTGGGGCTGATCCCTGGGGCTCCAGCTGCTGTCACCCTCTGTGTACCAAAGAGCCTGAAGACCCTGGGCCTCACGACTTCCAGAGCAGCTGCTCTGGGTGCTGAGGCAAGAATGCACGGGGTCATTTAGAGTCAGAAAGTTTGAAGTTCAGACTGTGCTGTTTCAAGTTTTAGAACCCATTTCCCAGCACAGAGAGAACGCCTGTCCTTTCTGCTACAGGAACTGACTAAAGGCACCTATTACAGTGCTTGGTGCACCCGGTGAGTGTGCAGCTGTGGTGACCAGAGCAAGCATCCTGAGCCTCAGGACAGAGAGGGCCACCAGGTGGCTCGCCCGCCTTTCCGTCTGGCTTTGGGGTGGGGAGTGGTCATCCTGCCTTCCAGGGCCTTCTCATTTCGGCGCAGTCATTGACCTGATTGAGTAAGACCAGAGCGTGTCCTGCCGTGCCGTGCCGTGCCCTAGTTAAGGCTCTGGCTAGTTTCCGTCCTGCTCCTCGCTTCCATAAGTAGTTTTTTCCTGTCCTCTCCCTGTGTTTAACCATCTTCCCCGTCCGTACCTGCCACAGGGTTCTATTAACCTGTCCCACCAATGCTTTATGTTTGAGGGTTCTGCTCTCCTAGGGCACCTGTTGACGCTCCTGGTTCGACTCCCCCAGGTGTGAGCATTTACGGCGAGACGTTCCCAGACGAGAACTTCAGGCTGAAGCACTATGGCATCGGGTGGGTCAGCATGGCCAACGCCGGGCCCGACACCAACGGCTCCCAGTTCTTCATCACCTTGACCAAGCCCACCTGGCTGGACGGCAAACACGTGGTGTTTGGGAAGGTCATCGACGGGATGGTAACTTGATAGACTGCCTTTTTTCCCTTCAAAGCTTTATGAGTGGTGTATTTCCCTCTTAAAACGTACCTGTTAGGGACAGAAACCAGCCATAAAAGGGCAGTGCTCTGTGATTGCACGTGTGTGAGGGGTCTACAGTGGGAAATGGGAAGTAGAGTGAATGGTGGTCGCCCGGGCTGGGCGGGTGTGGGAAGTCGTGCCAAAGGGGCGAAGAGTTGGTTTTACACGATGAAAAAGCCTTAGAGATTGGTCATGTAACAATGTGAATATACTCAACGCTCTTGAACTGTGTCTCCCAAGATGGATAAAAAGGCGTTTTATTTTATGTGATTCTTCATACGCAACAAAGCAAAAAGACAACCCCGGGTGGTTCAGTCCAGAGACCAAGTTTCCTTTCAAGACATGCCGTATGGCGATCAGCAGGTACTAGAGAGAATTCGAATCCATGCCAGTAGGTCTCAAAGGCCGTCCAAAGGTCCTGTCCATCCCTCCCAGGAGCACTTCCCACAGCCCCGTTCTCTCACTCTGCGGCCCCCTCCGTAGCAGGTCCCTGAAGCAGCTCTCCCGGCTCCTGACTCCTGACTGGCAGGTCTGCCCAGCCAGGCTGGCCACCCCGGAGCCCTTGCCCTCCTCACCGCACGTGGTCTTGTGTGTGAGTTATTTGGCCTCCCTCATCCAAATGTAAACAAACTGATCTTCACTCACTGCCACTCTCCCTCCACTGCCACCTGCTGCTCTGAGTATTTTTTTTAAGGATTGTTTAATGTTATTTATTCAGTCAGTTGTTTTCATTTGACTAGAGAAAGACAGACACAGAGAGAGAAAGAAAGTGAGAGAAAGCAAGCCACCAAGTCTGGGGCTCGAACCGTGGTCAGCCATGTGGGAGTGTCCAGCACCTTAACCACCACGCCACCTCCCGGCCCTGCTACTCTGATGCTAAGAAAGCCCAGGAACTGAGTGGTGGACACAGCCCTGTCTGGGGAACCCATCAAACGCCTACTTTCTTGGGACTTGACCAGCTCTCCCTCCGTCAGTGTGAGACGGAGGTGTGCACGACCCCGAGAAGCCTCCAGGAAAGAGGAGGGGCCTTTACACACTGAATTCGGGGTTACCTTAGCATCAGACCCAACCTGTGGATTAATGTGTCGGGTCACCTTTAAAATGGACTAGCCCAGAACTAAGTCCACTCGTAAATGCCCTCTCTGGCTCATCTGAGGAGGTTGAGCCTTGTTACTGGGTGGAGCTGAAACTGACTTAAACTCTGTGTTAACTCCTTTTTTAAAAAAAAGATTATTTAATCACTTTATTATTATTTTTAAATTGACTATAAGGCATGTGTGCTTGAGAGGGAATGAGAAAGCAAGCCTCCGGGGCCAGGACTCAGGTCGTGATCGGCCATGTAGGAGTCGAGCACCTTGACCACCATGGCGCCTGCTGGCCCCTCTTACTAACTCTGACAGCGACTTGTAGCAGGGGCATAAAATACCTTTCCTTAGAGCTAGGTGTTTATAGGGATACCTCATTTTTTTAGACTGTAAAATGCTAATTTTTAAAAAAGTGAGGAAACACCAGTATAGTCTTTTAATAATAAGGTAGAAGTGGATTTAGTGGACTAATTTTATTCTCTGCCCTATTTTTTTCTGAATGTAGTAAGTTTTCCACAGTAAACTTGCAGGCTTTTTATCATCATAAATATTGGGTCGTTGGAAAAATCATGATGCATTTTTGCGTAGAAAAAATCTGTCGTGACCTTTCTGACGACCCAGTACGTAACTTACCCACTCGGGCTGTCGGGGCTGGCGTGATTACACCTGGGCTTGCAGTTGCTGCTGATCCGAAGCCACCCACCTGTCGCCTTCTTCCCCTCACAGACGGTGGTGCACTCCATAGAGCTCCAGCCCACCGACGGGCACGACCGCCCGCTCACCAACTGCTCCATCGTCAACAGCGGCAAGATCGACGTGAAGACGCCCTTTGTGGTTGAGGTCTCTGACTGGTGACACGCTGGCAGAAAACGAGGGTCACGCTCTGGCACAGATGTGTGTGTGTGTGTGTGAGTGTGCATGCGTGTGCGTCTTTCAGGTCTTCAGAATTTTGCTTTGTTTCCTTTCTCTTACTTTTCTACCCCAGATCACAGAAAATGATAAAAACCAACCACTCAGTATTTGCATGAATTTTAGTAAATCACACACTTAGGGACCTTGAACTTGAAGGGCCTATCTTCCACTGGTGCTATTTTTTTAAACTAGAAAAGTTTATATTCCCCCTCCTTCCCTTTTTGTTAACAAACACAGGGTTTTGTTTTGTTTTCCTGCTTTTATTTTAATCCCCATGTTGGGCAATGCTGACATTTATCTGCAAAAGATGAGGACATGAAGTTTATTATTTTGTTTTCAAACAAATTCAGGTAAAGGGAAGTTTGACTTGTATAATTTGATTAT